ATCAACTCTGTTCTATGCTCCTCCCTAAATGATATATCTCTAATTAGTACTGTCATAATTCATATTCCAAAGGTTTCTTGGTAGTGACTTGACATCTATTTTTGAGTATAGTTGATACATAATGTTACATTAGTTTTGGGTGTACAACTTAGTGATTTGACAGGTTTATACATTATGCTATGCTCACCATAAGTGTAGCTACCATCTGTCCTGTTCCATCGCTATTACAGTATCATTGACTATATTCCTTATGCTGTTTATTTGGCCTCTATTTCTCTTCAGTGACTGAGACAAGCTGTTTCTGTGTTGATTGCCACCTAACATTTGTCCTCCTACCACTACAACAACCTGATTCTTAAAAAAATATGAGTATATGTGAAATTCTTATTCGGCTCTACATTCCTTATATGTCATGGGCTTTGGGTTCCTGTTAGTCTGTCTAAGTCTCAAGAACTTCCCATTTCAAGTAGGATTTAATTGGTTATATTCTTTAGGGCTATACAACCTTCCCCTAAAGAACTCTGCTTGTTTCCTCAAACAAGATAAACTTTTGTACCTCTTTTAAAGTTTATTGAAATTACACTATTTAGCTGGTATTTTTCAGTTTGTAGTTTGGAAATATGGTAAATACTCAGTATTTTTTCCTTTTTCAAGTTTTTATTTAAATTCCAATTAGTTACTATACAATGTAATATTGGTTTTAGCTGTAGAATTGAGTGATTCATCACTTACATATAACACCCAGTGCTCATCACAAGTGCCCTTCTTAATAACCATCACCCATCTACCCCATCCCTCTGCCCACCTCCTTTGCAGCAACCCTCAGTTTGTTCTCTATGTTAAGAGTCTGGTAAATACTCAGTTTTAATGAAAATCAAAATTATTTCCTCTTTTTACCCTTTGTTATTTAGTGGGCTCTTTGCCATGGTGAGATTTTTAATGCCGCAAAGACATTGGCATGATCTTCAATCTTACGTAGAAGAGAGGTAAAATGATTAAAGTATGATAACCTGCAAGGGGCAGGGAGTGTGTGTGTGTGTGTGAGAGAGAGAGAGAGAGAGAGAGAGATTTTAAGTAAAGCTTCTGTTATCCTGAAATTGATTTTCAAGAATGACGTTCATGTGAATATTAGTGGAGTGCAGGTTAGAGTTTTGTGCTAGAGAGATTGAGTCAAGGATCCTAAGTGTATGTGTGATAGCTGGACATGCAGGTGCAGGTAAGATTGTGGAGGAAGAGGATCTAAACTGAAAAGATAGAGGCATTGAGAATGGATTCATGGACAGTGAAGATGAGCCAGTAGAGTAGTCAAATGAGGAAGAAGCAAGCAGGGAGAGAATAGTGTCACAGAAGCCTGGTAGGTAGGCTTCACCAGTGCCAGATGTCACACAGAATTTAGTGCAAGGAAGACTGAAAAGAGGTTATTAGACTGGAAACTATAGGATTTCCTATATTTTTAATGAAACAAATTTTAATGAATAATGAAAGTGGAAGATAAATTATAGTGAGTAGAGAAGTGAATTTGAGTTGAGGAAATAAAGATGAATGTAGATTACTTTTCCAAAATTGTTGGATATAAAGGGAAGTTATTTTGATAATTTGTTGCATAATATTCCCCTCTTCTCTTCCCTCCTCAGTTAATATATGTATATTTTAACATCATAACCCACTCAGACAAGGGGCAGGAACAACATAAGCCCACTTATGTAATTGTCCATGTTGTACATCAGCTTTTAGTTATAGAAGTCCTTGATTAGGCTGTATTCCTTTGCCTCTTGATGGTTTATTTAGCTGACATTTTTCAGGTCCCTTATGTTTATTCAATGTTATTTTGAAGGATAATTAACTTGGTTATTTTAGAAAACAAAATTAGTTGAAGAGAAACAAATACACTATTTTTTTTAAAGATTATTTATTTGAGAGAGAGAGAGAGAGCGTAGGGAGAGGGGCAGAGGGAGAGGGAGAAACTTAAGCAGACTCCGTGCTGAGTGTGGGGCCTGGTGTGGGGCTCTATCTCATGATCCTGAGATCAAGACCTGAGCTGAAACCAAGAGTTAGATGCTTAACCGACTATGCCACCCACATGCCCCAAAACAAATACACTATTAATCATCAATGTTTAATTCCCTATTATTACACAAATCTAGACTTACTTATCCAAGTGTATAGAATTAGTCATGCTTATAGTGTCTGATGGATCATTTATTTTCTCCATGTTCTGTACTTCAGTCCTATGCTAGAATTTACCACCTCCTTTTTGGTAGAAGTACTGCTACTCTTACCATAAAAAAAAATATTGATAATGTTTCTGTTGCTATTGCTGCTGAACTGTTTCTTTGTGCTCTGAATATTGCATTAAACAAAGTTCTGCTTATCACTGGATTAGTTATCAGTGTATCCTGCAAGTACTTTTGAAGAGGTCTCAGCTTTCTGTTTTCCAGCTAAACATACCCTGACAATTCCACATGGTCACTGTCACATTTTCTCTTTGGCTGTGCTGTCCATCTCTTTTATGTTACCCAGTAGCCACTCCAATAAGCCTAATTTCCCAGTAAATAGTGGTTTTGCATTTACATATTTCTAAGGCTTCACTTATTCTTAGCTTTTTTTCCCCTTTTAAGGGAAAGTTTATTGGGGAAAAATAGTTTAATTTTATTTTAACACTCACAAGACCCATTTTTAACAAATTTTTATAATCCCCACAAAAAGCATACGTAATTGATTCTACCGCACGAATTTAAAAATACATATCTACCCCTGGATGGACATTTTTATAAACAAAAGATCACCAGTGAGTCACTCGGATAAAACATTGGATTTTAGTTTCTCTATTTCAATAATATATAGTGAGCATTATATCTGTAAAGAAAATTGGTTTTTTAATTGTGCCATGAATTTCTTGTTCTTTGTCTCTAGTTTAGGATTTACTTTGTAACCACCCTTTTATATCAGCTTCTAATCTTTGAAACAAACTGTGGTCAAATCTGTGGTTTTTACCCCCGTCATAGGGTTAAGCTCCCTCTGCTTCTGTCAAAAGCCCAGCTAAGACATATTCATGAGGGAAAACAAGACTGGAAAACAAATGTAAACTTAGTCCCTCTGAAACTCCTTAAGCTTTATCCTGGTATTAAATTTGATCACCAGAAAAGCTTGACTTCTGCTCTCTACAAAGTTATAATTTCATGTTGAAATCTATTGACTTTTTTCTTTTTAATGAAACTGCTTCAAAGACAAGACCCATTATGTTGTTCAACACCCTTTATATAAAGTCCCTTGTCACAAATACCTCCTGGAAATGAGAATCAGTGAAGAAATTTTTTGGTGAATTGTAAAGTGTCCTTCTAGGCTGTGAGTACTTAGTATATAAGCTAGTCTGGTTTTGAGTTTACTTGGCTGTGCCAAGTTTAGGGCAAAGCCTTACCCTCAAGTGCTGTAGCTTTTCTCAGGCAAGTTGATGATTCTCAAGTTTTCTATTCTCTGCTAGCAATTCTTAGTCTTATAATATCCATCCTGTGATTTTTTTTTTTTTTGGTAAGCTATTTTAACTGAAGGATGATTTTTAAAATCCCCCTTTTAAGCCAGGATTTCTCAAACCTTGAACTTTTTTTTAAAAAATATCTATGGCAACCATCCCCTTTTCCTGTCCATACCAGACACCAGGGCTATTTCTGATTCTGTTTTTAAACTGGGTTGGGAAATTGGACTAAACTAATACTTCGTAGAAATCTCTTCTTAATCCATCAATCTAAAAATCTACTATAATTAAAATTTTATATAATATCCTGTATTGGAAATATGAGTATACTTAAAAGTATTTTTGATAAAATGTGGCTATAACTTGGTTCATTTAAAATAATTATTCGATATGTTGCTAAAATGCAATTAGGTAATTTTCTGATTCATAAGACTTAACTGAGTATTATAGGTAAGAAAATAACCTAAATCATGTTATTAGTATTTTCAAGTTTATTACATGGTAATAATTTATGTGGATAGCAACCAGTTTTCTGTTTAAATTTCTTTTATCCCAATTTCATTTTTAAAAAAGTAGTATATGTTATTGATGATTAATTTTAGATCACAAAAGGCTTAAAAATGTTAGTGTAATTCAATAATTTGAAATTAAAATTGATAAGTTTGTACATGTCAAATTCTACTGGGATATGGTCAAAAATACATTTTAAAAAGTTTAGAAGTGCATTAAGCTGCTGATTTTCTCAATACCTTTTCACTAAGGAAAGGAATAATGTGCATGTTGGTATTACTGCTTTCTGTTTTACAACATTTCTAACAGCATGCATTCTCCTGGAGAAAGGGGAGGACCTGTGATGTGAGTGCCCATCACTGTAATGATGCTTATCGTACTCAATACTCTATCTTCCTTTTCATCTCCTTTGAAGGATGTCAGTTCTTTCTGGCACTGAAGGAGAATTGCAATTAGTTTGCTTCTTGGCTATGATTACTATCTTTCTGCTCTTAAGGGATATTGTGTGATTTGCTTACACATTAACTTCAAATGGGATTGCAAACTGAATCCAGATATTGGAAGGTGCTCTGAAGAGGGCTAGTGTAAGATGGGGGCCTGCATGAATTGAATAAAAATTAGTAGTATTGCAGAGAGAGAGACAGAGACAGAGACAGGGACCTCAAGAAACTCTTCTTTGAATTGTCATGGCATTGTCAGTCCACATTCTAAAGGTATAGGATGGGGATTCTGAAAGGCTTTCTTCCAGAGGAGGGACATTATATGACACATATAAACTCCAAAAACAAACAAACAATGTCAGACCAGATTTGACATCAATGAAAAACATTACACTCTTTTTTTGTATTATTTAATCACCTTATTCAGTTCTGCTTGTATATCAAAGACTGGTAATAATTCACTACCATGGTCACTGAATTCTTTTACTATGATGAATGTTTGGAATTAAACTCTATTTATAATTTTGGTTAATAAGATTACAGAAAATTACTCAAATTTTTAATTGATTTTTTTTCAGAGTTGAAAATGTCTAAGTACATTGATTATGGCCAGTTGAATGCATTGTGCCATATAAGAGGACTACAATCCAGGTAAGTTTCTCATGTGTTTCTTTTTCTTTCATTCAAATGAATATGAACATGTTTGTTTTATGGATAAAGTATAGTAGTAAACTATTGTTGACTCCATAGGTACTTGATTTACCACATAGATAAAAAACATTTGAAAACCTGGAGGTTATTTCTCCAGATTAAAGGGGCAGAATATATGTTATATTTTAAGGAAACAATTGAGTGTGAAGCAAACATAATTCATCCCTAGCTGAGCCCTTTCTAGTACTTAAAAAACAGTCATAAGGGAAGAAAGCTTTAAATGGTTGGAAACACAAATCCTGAGTGAAATAAGTACTTCAGCAGTGCTTAGGAGATACCCACTTGAAAGATACTGGAGCCAAAGAATTAGGAAATATTAGGGCTCAAAGCTCAGGATTCCTAAGGTATATGATACTTGAAGATATAATTTGAAAAAAAAATTATTGTTTTGCCAACTCGGTTTCCCAGTTTGGATTTTTGAAATTATAAAACTAGTTAGTTTCTTACATATCAGTGTCCATCCACTCTTCCACTTTCCTTTATTAAGAGAGGACCTTGCCTCATCTTTAATGGGACCACTGAGAAAATGCCCCTATCTATTCTATTCTATTCTCTTCTTTATGATAAGTGCCCTTCTTAATTCCCATCACCTATGCCCCCCGCTGCCCCCACCCACTTCTCCTCTGGTAACCATCAGTTTATTCTCTATAGTTAAGACTCTGTTTCTTGGATTGTCTCTCTTTTTCCCTTTTGCTCATTTGTTTTGTTTCTTAAATTCCACATATGAGTGAGATCATATGGTATTTGTCTTTCTCTGACTGACTTATTTCACTTAGCATTATACTCTCTAGCTCCATCCATTATTGCAAATGGCAAGATTTCATTCTCTTCTATGGCTGAATAATATTCCACTGTGTGTGTGTGTGTGTGTGTGTGTGTGTGTGTGTGTGTATACACCATATCTTCTTCATCCATTTATCTATGACAGACATTTAGGCTGCTTCCATAGTTTAGCTATTGTAAACAATAAACATAGGGGTGCATGTATTCCTTTGAATTAGTGTTTTTGTATTTTTTGGGTAAATGCCCAGTAATATAATCCTGGATCATAGGTTCTATGATTAAAATCATTCTATTTTTAACTTTTTGAGGAACCTCCATACTGTTTTCCAGAGTGGCTACACCAGTTAACAATTCCCACCAATAGTGTAGAAAGTTCCTTTTTCTCTACATCCTTACCAACACTTGTTTTGTGTTTTTGATTTTCTTATGTTTCTGATTTCAGATTATTTCTGTATCTTCATTGATCTTGCCATTTCTTCTTTTTTTTCAGAGAAAAGGAGGAGGACTTGCTTCTTTTATATTTCTTGGATTTCTCCTAAGAATGATTTTTTTTTTTTCCTATGCCACTTATGCCTCCTCCTCACTCTCAGTGCCTTTCCACACAGGATGAAGAATCAAGTCATGCCACTTGGTTTGAATCCGGCTCAGACACTCACTGAATGTGTGACCTTGGGTTGGTTACTTAATTTCTCTTTACTTCAGTTTTCTTATTTTTAAAATGGAGATAATAATAGTACCTATTTTACAGAGTTATTGGGATGACGAAATGAGCTAACATATGTTGAGTAAACAGGGTCTGGCACATAGTGAGAGCTATATAAATGTTATTTTAAAATGATTATTGCTATTCAAAAAGGCTCATCCAAGTTTTTAAGTGTTGAATTTATCTTATATGCTGTACCCTTTTCTAACACATAAGAAGCTAGTTCAGGCTTTTGGAGCCGAATGCCTTTTGTGCTGTCATTTTCCTTTTGCTTTTTCGCCCAGACGTAAAAAACTAAAAACAAAAAACAAAACATGTTTCTAGACCTCTCCCTCCACCCACCTTGGGTGATCATAGTAAGAGAAATTGAATCATCTAGATGTGGAACTGCCAAAGTATCCATTCTACATAAATCTTATCAGCCTTTGTCTTCCTGGTTTGATAATCTTTCCTAAGTAGTGGTCTCTCATCAGACAATCAGCTGTTCCAAGCCCAGTCTGGTGTCCTGCTTGACTTCCTTCTATTAAGTTTTACATTTACTGTGCCTTTTCTTAGACACCAAATCCCGTGAATTTCTTGGATGTTTTCTTTTGATGCATTGGTACACACCAGGGGTCTGGGAGACGGCATGTTTTCGGGTACTTATATATATATATATATATTGGGTTTAGGTTTAGGTTTAGGTTTTAGGCTTATGTTTTAGAAACAGAATATAAGATTACAAATACAAACATAGATTTGAAAATGAGTATCTTTTTAGAATAAGATAATAAATTACAAAAGATTAATGATGGCTTGGCAATACAGTCCTTTTTCCTACCAAGATTTCTTTATGCAGTTTATCAGAAATATATACATTGAATTCTTCCAGAATTACAAAGCTTTCAATTGATTTCCACAAATTGGGAAGAGATTTAAGAAAAATGTATTCCTTCATATTTATTCTTTATCTATTATATGTTAAAAATGACCAAAGAATTATTTTTCTCCTATAATTAAAAAAAAAGAAAGGCTGAGAATTAAATGACTCAAGGATTGCAATTTTTGAACATGAAAACTACTAAGGGTTTGATTATATATTATATATATATGTGTATATAAACCCTACCAAGGGTTAGATTATATATATTATATATATAATATTTATGTTATATATTATATATATGTAATATATAATATTTATATATATATATTTTAAATATATAATCTTCCTTATAGTTGTCCTTCCTTTGGTCCAGGGTGGGAGGATGGAGGGGAGGCTGCTACTCTCCACCACTTCCTATGTGCCTCTACCCTGTCCTCAATCCCAGCTGTTGAAACTACTCCTATCCCCTACCTGGGTATATGAGGGATTTTATACCCTTGTGCCTGTGTGTCTGTATATATATAAACTTTGTACAAAAAGCAAGCCCCACTGTGTGGTGGCTGCTGCTCAAATGCAAGTAGTCAGTCAGTTGGTGTCTGTCTGATGTTTCTTCTCCTCTGACAATAAAGGCAGTATATTAATATGTTATTCTGGGATTTTTTATCACAAGTAAAAGAAAAAATTTTGTGTAACAAAGAGGAATGATGTCAGTTTTGATTTCTAAATTCTTGGATGTAGGACTTTTCATCTCTAGTAGACTATATGTTCCATGAGGGCAGAAGATTTGTTTATCTTATTGCTTCCTACCCCTTGACATTTGGCATAGGGTTCAATGTTTTGAATTGAGTTACATTCTCATCTTCAGTAGAACTAAATATCTTCTTGATGCTTTAAAAATATATGTAGGTTTTCTACCTGTTGATTAGGAGGATAGCTGCATATTTATAGTGTGATATTTATTTGTTTATTTGTAAGATTATTTATTTATTTATTTGAGAGAGAGAATGAGCATGGGGGGCGCAGTGCAGAGGGAGAGAGAGAAGCAGACTCCCTGCTCAGCAGGGAGTCAGATGTGGGGCTGGATCCCAGGACCTGGGATCATGATCTGAGCTGATGGTAGATGCTTAACTGACTGAGACACCCTTTATTTATTTTGGTACTATTGTCTAGAGAGCTAATTATTTTTAAACTTTTTTTTTTTTTTAAAGCAACTTCTGTGGTTTGACATTCCATGCTTTGGAGATTTTCTTCCTTTTGTCACAGTACTTTATGATCAGTCAGCTCTTATGTTTAAAGTTCAGTTTACTTAGTAATAAACAGAGTAATATGGTTTGAAAGGAAATGTATGTTCTCCTAAGTTTCAAATAAACAAACTTGAGGCTATGTATTTGCAACTATATTTTCTTATGTGGCCAATTATTCTTGTAATTTCATGCAAAAGCCTTAAACATGTCTGAATTTGGAAATATAAAAGACAAACAGTGATGATGCATGTGCGTTTATGCATTTGTATAAGAGTGGTGCTTGTCAAACAATTAGCTTTGTGACTGGGATTATAGAGTTCAGTACTTATTAGTGATTAATATTACTAATATATAGCCACTTATCCTCAAATACAGATATAGTTGTGCTGACTGTATATTTTTTATACTTACAGAGATTATACCTCATAAATAGGTTTTAGCCCAAAGTCCATTTTTAAGTTGATTATCTAGCATCATTTCCCCATACACACAATATTATAGAGTCAGAGGATTGTAGAACAGGGAGTTAACTAAGAAATCGTCTAGTGGAAACTCTTCAACTTACAGACGATTAATTTTGCCTAATTTTCCCCAACTGTATCTTTTACTTTTATACTTTTATATTAGAAAATATGGAAATGATATCATTAAAATATAGTAATTAATTAAAATATAAAAAATGACATTCAGTAATTGTTTCTTTCTCATTGCTTCAGGTTAGGGTAAAGTATATTAATTTACTGGAGTATTAGAGGTTGATAGAGACAATAGAAATTATTTTAAGGAGGCTCCTCGACAAGTTTAAGGCTCTTAGAGTCTATTGATAATGGTTGGTTCTTCATTATAATTATTTTTATTTCAAAATATATTATTATCTTTCTTTTTCTTAGTGTTTTGCTAATTCTGTTGGCATCAGGCATAAACAAACATTTTTTGACATAAAAATTAAGATATGAAGAGATAGGTGATTTTTATTTTTAAGGAAATAAAGTATGGAAGAGAAAGGAGACAAGAAGAACTTTGAAAATATGGCTTAGTACAAATAAAAGAAATTAATTAAACTGTGATTCTACAAACATTTATCTGGAATGAAGTCAATTTTTTTTTTTGAACGGTTTCTACTGAAGACCATCAGTTGGTACTGTCAATCCAGTGGTGGCAGAAAAGGTGGGCAGAGACAGATGGAATCTTGCATTTACTTTATAGGTTGTGAACAGTTGGAGGCTTATAATTCAGGGTGTACTTATTAATGTTATTTTACCTAATGTGCATGTACATATATCCAGTTGTCTAGAACAAGACCCTCTACCTGAGGCAGCACCTTTCCCAGGGGACATTTGGAAATGTGAACACATTTGTAGGTGTTACAATGACTAGGAGATGACAATGATAATAAGTGGATAGGGGCTAGGCATTGTAAACAGTGCAGTGTGTAGTAAAATCCTGCACACTGTTCTATCCAAAATGCCAATAGCACTCTGTGATACTGTGTTTTATAAGAAATATATATTTGGTCTTTGTCCTTCTTTCTGGCAGGGAGCTCCTAAAACTGTTGGAATTTCCTAAATGATAGAGTGATAAATGTGTCTGTTGTTATGTTAATGAGGTGACAGTTGGACCCCACCTAGGGGTTGGTTGCCTAGGAGGGAGAACCAACTAAGTATTCAGAGGGTTTTAACTTTCAGTCCCACCCGCTGACCTCTTGGGAGAGGCTGGAGGTTGAATCAATTGCTAATTGCCAATGATTAAATCAGTCATGACTATATAGTGAAGCTTCTATAAAAACCCAGAAGCATGGGGTTTGGGGATCTCCTGGGTTAACACACGGAGGTGCTGATTGAGTGGCCAGCCTGGAGAAGGCATGGAAGCTCTTGTACCCCTTACCACATACCTTGCCCAATGCATTTGTTCCATCTGGATGCTCATCTGTATCCTTTATCATATGCTTTTATAGTAAACTAGTAAACATGAGTACAGTTGACCCTTGAACACACGGGTTTGAGCTGCATGGGTCAACTTGCGTGTTTTGTTTTGTTTTGTTTTCAAGTTTTTATTTAAATTCCAGTGTAATATTAGTTTCAGGTATAGAATTTATATCACTTACATACAACACCCAGGGCTCATCACAACAAATGCTCTCCTTAATACCCATCACCTATTCAACCCATCCCCCTGCCACCTACCTGCTAGTAACCATCAGTTTGTTTTCTGTAGTTAAGAGTCTGTTTCCTGGTTTGTCTCTCTCTTTTCTTCCTCCCTATGTTATCTGTTTTATTTCTTAAATTCCACATATGGGGGCGCCTGGGTGGCTCAGTCGGTTAAGCGTCTGACTCTTAATTTCGGCTCAGGTCGTGATCTCAGGGTCTTGAGATCAAGCCCTGTCTCTGGCTCTGTGCTCCGTGGGGAGTCTGCTAGAGATTCTCTCTCTTCCTCTCCCTCTGCCTCTCCCTGCCATCTCTAAAATAATAAATAAATAAATCTTTTAAAAAAATTCCACATATGAGTGAAATCATTTGGTATTTGTCTTTCTCTGACTTATTTCACTTAGCATAATATTCTCTAGCTCCATCAATGTTGTTGCAAATGGCAAGATTTCATTATTTTTGATGATCTCACTCTTTCTCTCTCTCTCTATATATACACTCATTCTTTACATATAATATATATGTGTGTGTGTACACAAATACATATATACCATATCTTCTTTATCCAGTCTTCAGTTGGTAGACATTTGGGCTCTTTCCATAATTTGGCTATTGTTGATAATGCTGCCATAAACATCGGGTGTATCTCT